AGTATCAACTAGTCTTGTTCTATATATTAATTATTACTAGAATCAATCGGTTAATACGCTTGTTATTAATTCGGTTCTTTCAATGGTAGTAAACTTGGATTGTTAATGCATGCTTCTCATGGTTAATAATCTAAGGGGAATTAATTATATTGATTAAACCAATAAACCGCTTGTGTTGAGGTTATCAATCTCAATCGTTTTCATCTTAAGTTTATTGCTACTATCAAGTTAATATACGGCGCGTGTTCTATATTGACTCGATAGTAAGTTTTGTTAATGAACGCTTCTCGTTATTAATAACTACCCTCGATGAACTGGATATACTCCTCGATTGAGTATTCGAGAGGAAGGTAGTTAAAGATATAACCGGGATCGACGAACATTTCATTAAGTGGATAAAAGCAAAGCCAAGTATTCTTCTCATTAATTAAATCACATAACTCGTTCATCTTCGTGTTCAATTTAAATTAAATCATTCAATCAAAACCCCCCCTTTATATTTACTAGTTCATAAAAAAAGAGAAGTATTCCTTTCCCTGCGGATACGAACCTTACTTCAATATACTACGTATATTAGTTGTATTGTATTTATTTTGAGTGCACCTCACGACAAAGGGCACGTCAAATGCGAGGTAAACATCCCACTCCTCAACTTAATCAAAAGTGTCCCTCGATTTGCTAAATTCTTCAAAGAATTATGCACTATCAAAAGGACACGCCACTTAAAAGAAAAAGAAAAGAATGAAATTAGCGAACATGTCTCGGCAGTTTTTCAAAAGAAACTTCCCCCGAAATGCACTGACCCGGGCATGTTCACTATACCATGCAAGCTAGGAGACACCATTTCTTCTAAGGCCATGTTGGACCTAGGGGCATCAATTAATGTAATCCCCTATACTCTTTATAATTCTCTAGAACTTGGACCTTTAAAAGAAACCGGTATCATAATCCAACTAGCCGATAGGTCAAGTATTTCTCCAAAAGGGCTAGTGGAAGACGTACTTGTGTCGGTAGGTGATCTAATTTTCCCTGCAGATTTTTACGTACTTGAAATGGAGAGTGATAAACATGAAGTCCCTATTTTATTGGGGAGACCATTTTTGAAAACCGCTAACTCAAAAATTGATGTTTCTAGTGGATTTTTAACTATGGAATTTGATGGAAAGAAAATAGAATATAACATTTATAATTCTATTAAACATCACTCCCCATTTGAAGAAAAAATTGAATCAATCTTTGATGTTGGGGAAACACTAAATCAACCACCGTTCATCGAACCTCTTGAAAATAAGTTGAAACCACCTGAACTTGAGGTGGTAACTAAAATAAAAAACCGGTCTTGCTGGAAAAGGGCCAAAGATAAAATTGAGACATGGCTAAATAGGGCCTTGAATTCAGAGAAAAGGGATGTTCATGATCCCACATAAAAAGCTGAAAAATAAAATAAAAATAACGTCGTGCCGCGACGTTAACTAAGGCGCTTCTTGGGAGGCAACCCAAGCCAAGGTACGCATTTTTCAATTTTTTTTTTCAACTATTGTTTTCGAATGTCAACTTTGGGAGAATAGGAGGTAATTCTCAAAAGAAAATAAGGAAAAAAAATCATGTTTTAAAGGTCTGGGGAAATCTCCGATCGGTCATCATCAGTTACCCGGTCGGATCCATGCCGAAAAGAGGATTAAAATGGGCGAAACAAAATTCCAGGGTAATATACTCGATCGAGTAAAAGTCCTACTCGGTCGGGTATAGGGTGAAAAAGCAAGATTTGGGATCGAGTACCCCATACTCGATCGACCAAAGAAGAAAAAAATGACCGAATACCCGATCGGGTATACCTCATACTCGATCGAGTACTCGACCCCTGGAGCCAATCTGAAATTCCGACACCATACCCGATCGAGTACATTTATATACTCGATCGAGTATATTTCCAAAAAATCCTACGGTGAGGAAAATCCGATCGAGTATACCCCATACTCGATCGCGGGCACAACCCTGGAACCAATTTTTGAAAAAAAATGACTATACCCGATCGGGTATATTAATATACTCGATCGGGTATATTTATGGGAAAACCTACGGCTGAGAAAATTCGATCGAGTAAGGGGTATACTCGATCGAATCAAACCCCGAAACCAGTTCAAAGGCAGGCATACCCAATCGAGTAATCGGGGTACCCGATCGGGTATACATGTTGAATATTTGAGCTCTATTTCTCAATAAATTTCCAACAATCCTCCTCCATTTATTGAGAAATAAATCTTGCTCAAAAGCTGGAACAAATTAAATAAGTTTAATATTTAATTTTGTCTAATAAATAATTTCTTCCCAAGTAGCTCATTACTTCAATTCCCTCAAATAATTTCCCAGAGACATTAGAGCAAGGAGAAAGGAGGTGAAACTCAGATACGAAGCAGCTCCAATGGGTGTGAACCCAAGTTGTGCAACATAAGCCGCTGTCCAGAGAATCATAAGCCCCAAATCTACCTTAGAATACATTTCAAATGAGAGATAAGAGTGCTAAGAAAATGTTTTTGTGGGTGACTCTTGATGGAGGAATACCTATTTATTTACTCCATGAAAAAGTAGGATGATCGAACAAGAAATGACTGTGAAAGCCTTTCTCAAAGGTGTAAAATAGTACAACGTATTTGGGTATATACCTTCTCTCCTTGTCTCATTAGTAGCTAGTATTTTGAAATTTGCTCTCATACATTTCCCTGTTAAGTCATTTATTTACTCCATGGAAAAGTAGGATGATCGAACATGTAATGACTTTGAAAGCCTTTCTCAAGGGTGTAACCCCCGGGACCGGGCCTAGGCCCGGAACTAAAACCGGTACACCAGGCCAGGCCCACACAGTTGCGGGCCGGGCCGGTTCCCACGTCGGGCGGCCCAAACCGGGTCCAACACTATGATAGACCGTTCAAACCTCATTATAGCACGCTTGCCTAGTCTGAGCTTTTGGTCCCATCACAACGCCTAGGATGCAACTAAAGGGAGGGGCGAGCTGCATCAAGCTTTGGCGGGACATTAGGAAGCTACAGGAAGAGCATTTAGTGTAAGAATTCAGCAAGATTTGAAGTGAGGAAAATTGAGGTATTGGGATAGCAGCAAGTAACCCTCCACAACTATCTGCATTTAATCTCTTATATCCTTAACACCTTGATAGATCATAGATAGAGCAAACTGCAAAGTATAGGATTTATATCTATTTTGGAGTGTATTACAAGTGTTCTTCCATAAATACAATCAGTATACATTTTTATATTGACATAGAGCGATAGAGGAGCTGTTCTTTTTTGAAGAGGTAGAGGGATGGCTTATTCAAGACTAATTAGAGAAAACTCTGTTGTGTGAATGGAAATATGGAATAAGTAAAACTTGTTCTTTGCAGTGCCTAAACCTATACAGAGTATTAATTAAACTACCACGTCAGTATTTTTTTAAAAGCTGGGTTGTTTTTATGGCAAACGGTTCTATTCCATTCAAAGTAGTGGTGGACTCGGGCCAGGCGGCCCGCCCCGGAACCAGCCCGGCCCGGTAACTGTTTGAACCGGCCAGGGACCGGTCCGGGTAGGCCCGACCCGCTGGGGTTCCGGGCTGGGCTCGGGCCCCTGAAAAGTTGAACCGGCCCGGCCGGTTGGGGCCCGGTCCGGGTCAATTTATTTATTTTTCTTTTTTTTTTTGAATTTTTTTTTATGTTTTTGGGTTGGGCTGGGTATTTTGGGCCATTTGAAGTGGTTTGGGGTGGTTTGGGGGTGAGGGGGGAGGGTTGGGGATTAATTAGGAAAAACAAAAAAAAAAAGTAAATTGAACCGAGGCCCGGCCCGGCCCAGACCCGGGGTTTACCCGGGCCGGTTCCGGGCCTCCCCTTTCATGAACCAAGGTCCGTCCGGGCCCAGGCCCGAACCGGGCCCGAACCGGCCCGAGTCCACCCCTAATTCGAAGTATATATCTCATACACTAGTAAACTACTACCAAATTATGATTACAGCACAATTTAACCTAGCGAACAAAGGGCCAACTAGGGGTGGGCATAAAAAACCGTAACCGTTTAACCGTACAAAAAGACCGGAAAACCGGTGTCCTTTTCGGTTAACCGTACCGAAAATTTTAAAACTTGCGGTACGGTTAATTGGCCGGAAGGAAAAATGGTTCGCGGTACGATTATGGTTTTGAAATTACGTTCCGCCGGTTAACCGATAACCGTAACCTCAAATATTACTTCGTACGATAGTATATGATTTCCGTATTATTGGCTAGCTCTTGCTAAGTGATGATGATGAATGGTGTGGTTTGGAGACAAATGTACAGTAAATACCAGTAAGGCGGTAAAGGTTTTGAGACAGGAAAGTATGCACTTAGTATCCGGTTCAGAATTCTGCATCTATAATTCACGTTCGTACAATCGTACATAATGGAATACATACAAAGCTACTCACAGTTATATAGCTCAACTAGATGGAAAAAATATTTCTACACTAATGCAAAGCGACACACATGCATGTACATATCTTTAGTAATATACGTTTATACGGTATAATAATACTCCATATAAGTATTGGAACATATAATCTGCAAAAGTAGCACGAAGTACCACGTAGTACAAGGAAAGATATACGGACTAACTAAAGTTTGGAAATCAGAGGATTTATTGGAAAAATTATTGCTATGGAAGTTTCTTTTTTAATCTTGGACTGCTAGTAATTAGTATTTTTAAGAATTTATTATTTTCTTTTTCATGATTTTGATGGTTAACCGATTAGTGTGGTTAACCGAAATTTCGGTTAACCAAGTATCGGTTAACCAATCTTATGGTACGGATAATGGTACCAACAATATATTAACCAACATTGCGGTTAACCGGAAATTGGTTAACCGAAATCCGGTTAACCAACCATGCCCACCCTTAGGGCCAACCAAGTTATTGCATCATCTTTTCAAATGGATTTTGCATCAAACTATTTGAATTGTGATCCCAAAGTGGGATTCAAAATCATTGATATTTAATATAACTATGGGATGCAACATCTAAGAGAAATAACCCACTCAAAGCATAGGGTGGGAACATAAAGGCGAAGTCCAATTTCAGAGTATACATGGCGTAAACTTAAATCTCGATGAGCACTTTGCCACCCGTGTGAATTGACACAATACAAATAAGCGAAAAAATGGTATTAATACTAAAGAGAAGATATGGTAGGACAAACTATAAAATCAATCCAATATGAAAATCTCTGGTAAGTTTAATATAAACAGCAGGTCTTAGTGCAAACCAATCTCTTAATTGTGAATAGAAAGGACAAAAGGCAAGCAGTGTGGGTGTCGTTGCTTCATCCAGTACTGATAAAGTAGCTCTCCTCCTCCTAGGGCTGCAGGGTAAATTAATGTAAAACACGGAAGGCTCATAAGACTTGGGCAATCCTTAAGCAATCGTTTGCACTGCTCTTTCAAAATTTTCCTCTGCAGATAATGTGCGTTTGACGAGCATGTGGTTTGGATGAGACAACTTCAATTGGCTGCAAGATTTAGTGCAAATGAACAACACAGCAATTTTTGTAAAGAAATTGTAATGGAAAAAACGTGCAATGACAACATTAAGAGACTAAAAGTAATTGTTTTTAGCCAGAGAGCTAACTTGCTAAGCACGTGCAGTATACAAATTTATATCAATTGTGGCTAAAAGAATTCCATGTACTTTCTTGCTGAAGGCAACTGGAATGTGAAAATCATTCAACCAAGTTTCAATGGCATAGCCTTCTTTTAAATGAAGATTATATTAAGTCTACCAAAAACATATTAACTGTGTATTTCATTATAACTGGTCTTTTTCCATTTCATAGCTTAGTCTTGAAAGCTCCTTGAATAGATTTTATGAAGGGTACACTGACAAACCATTAATACATACGGAAAATTAGTTCATTCATATTGCACCAAGTAGTAAGCATATAAACTAGTTACTGAATTTTGCACAAAAACAATAATAAATTACTAATGCTGTTAGTGTTAGCACATAACATATACAACTACTAGTAAATATTGTAATGAACACATCACTAAATAACGTGGGGTACACGGTTGGTTTTACCCCCCCCCCCCCCAAACGTAAAACAGGACTGCCTGAAAAATTCATTTATTACACAAGTTAAGGTAAGAAACTTGATTTGGCATTCAGTTACTAAAATTCCAATGAAAACGGACTAAAATAACTGAGATACTCCCTGAGGAAGAACAGTGGATCAGGAAACGCTCAATGACCTATTTCATACTTCATTTGGGGGTTTCTTTTTCTTTTGATAAGGTTTCAATCACCATCGATTTAACTCAACACTACATGGGAAAGTTCTGAGTGAATGAGTCAAATAGCATATGGAAGCTCACCAACAGTTTTGGTCGGCTATTGAAGACCTTTGGTAAGCTTTCATTGGGCACAAAGAATTATACTCCTTAGCTAATTTCCTAATTCAAGGAATTCATTGGGCACAAATAATTATAGCTAATTTAAGAAATTTATCAGTCTAAACCGCTAAGGCCTAAAAGATGAGTTGTCTATCGATTCTGGACATGGAAAAAAAGCTTTATCAATATTGGACTCACCAGAATATACTCTACCAATATAGGACACAAAATTTTCACAGCATTTATTTACTCGCTAATGAAATGTGATGTTGGCATGTTGCGTTACAGATACATAGTAAATATATTCATGATAATAAAAATATAATAATAATGATATAATACGTATAACACTAATAATAATAATAATATAAAGGTATCTGCCATAAGTCTCACTTTGAAGTAGGCAAACTAATATTTGAGGTGGATCGCAGGTTTTTTCCTACTCCAGTAAAAAAAACTCATCACTCTGAAGCATGAGGGTATACACCTAGTTATGTCTAAATGGTGCATACACGATTATTCGATACTCCGTATTATATTTCAGTGTTGAACATCTTATAACTGCACAAAACCTTGTTGTTTTCTACGAGAAATTTGAGAATGAATATGTGACTTTGGTCAGTTGGTGGATCAAGCTTTGAGATCTAGATGGCCCAGAGGCCAGTGCCTATTTGTGTGCCGTCTGGTATGAACTCAAATTGGGCTAGTTTTCTGAACTAGACACAGTGGAGGGACCGTAAGTCCGTAACAGAAGCAGACAGTGTGCTGGAGATTGTGGCCTTGTTGGAGATGTAATTATGTCATTGTAATCTTTTTCTTTTTGGTTTGCGATAGTGGTTATACTATGGGGGGTGGGGAAGATGAGCAGGCTGGTTGGACCATAGGGATAAAAGTTAGCAACTTGTATATTTCTGTTACTATCGTTTATCCAACTGGTACAACATCAGCTTTTGTCACAAGCCAAATTAACATTGTTAAATTTTATAAACTTGTATCAACAGATTATCATCATTCAGCTAGCAGAATAGCAGATTCATAAAAAAACGATCCTTCAGGTCCTAAATCGATAGGCAATACTGCACTAATTTATGGTTCTTTGCATCCACAAAATTCCTTAATACAACCTTGGCCAAAAAGTAACAGAGCCAAACAATAGTCACCACTCACCCCATTGGTTCTAAGTCCTAAACTATTTCATAAACTCAGTAACATATTGCACACTTATGTAACTAGCACATGGGATTCGATGAACAACTGAGCATAAACTATTCATGTATATTAACTATTCTTAGTTATAAGAATAACCTGAGATAGCGTGAAGGTGATTTCCCAAGGTGAAGGCTGCAAACCACCAGATTTGCCAGTGTTTCAGGATCCTTAGCATCCTGCATTATGATAAAAAAAACTCACATTGGCATAATAATGGAAACTAGAGCATGTACCAAGAAACCAAAGAGATTATCAGACTCAGATGCGGATCTGCAGGGGGCGGGGCCCCGGTGCCCCTGCTTCAGCAGTACAGGATAGGTATAGGAAGGGGTACGGCGGGCTGTTGGGCCCGTCCATGCCATTTTTTCGGGCAACTCAACGAGGCTGTGAGGACTGCTGGACTGAAAGGTCGACGAACTAGAACAAAGTGGGTGGCTGCTGAGTTATTTTTTATGAATAGGAACAACGTCGTTTGTGTAAGCAAACTCAAAAAAAGAGTCAGCCCAATTGCCCGAAGCAGCAGCCTGCATTCCTATAGCCTGACATCAGTCCTGCTCATCAGTGATTCACCGCATCGCAACTCCCAAGCAGCAGTGCCACTGCAACGCCACACCGCCAGGAGCCCATGACTCCCGGAACCAGCCCGAGGCCTCCCACCATAACACTCATTTCTCGCCGCTGACTGCTGTATTCCCCAAATCGCCGTCTCGCCCGTTCGGTAGGCTTTTCCATTTTTTGCCTTTCTTAATAAAATTATTATTTTTTTGTATTTGATTATTGAATTTTTACAATTCATAAATCTTATTTGAAAAATATGTGGTATAAAAAACTTAATGATTTAATCTGTATTAATGTATTATATTAAGATGAATTTAATGATTATGTATTAAATTATACGGAGTAACAGTTGAACTAATTATTTTTGTTTTCGCTACTTTTCCCCGGAGTGAAGTACTGGTGCCCCGTGCCCCCCTAAATAATTTTCTAGTTCCGCCACTGAATGGACTAGTAGACATTTCTAAACCAAAGATTAAATCAACATACTTTTTGACGTTGATCATTACCACATAGGGCAGAGAGAAATAATAATGTAACTCTAAAGGCTCATGGCAAGCAACAATACAAATATCACCTTGTTTAATGCTTCAACCAATAATGTCTCGGCCTCATCAAAGTTTCCCATATGCATGCAGCAAACGGCCTTGCCATTCAATACCAAGCTGGTCATAGGATACTTCTCAGAGAAATCTTGGTAGATAAGATATGCTTCTTGTATCTTCGACCCACCCTGATTAATAAATTAAATAAAGAAAGAAAATCAGCACATTAATCGGGTCTTCTTTATTCATCAAGACAGCAGTGGCAAGTAAGTGAGAAATACCACAGCCAAGTTTAACCATGCATTTGCAAGTTGGGTCAATGTATGGTCTTCATCAACTTGCTGCATGATCCTCAGTTGCTTGTCTGCATAATCTGATCTATGCAGCTTAATAAAGATCTGGACATTCAAAGCATGCCTACAGAAGTGCAAACATATTGAGTCTGGAAGCTGATTCCCAAAATGATGGCTACAATGTTACATACACTAAACTTCTACTATATGCAGGGTAGGTAACCTGGTTCAGGTCATGCATCTCTATAATAAAAGGATATGCAAGAAAGTGCAAAAAAAAGACTCACAATTCCATAGTTCCTCCGGCATTTGTATGCTTCAAAGCTTCATTGTAATCCTGCTCATGCAAGAAAATAATCCCAGCAATGAGCCGTAAGACAGGATTGTTTCCAACAGCCGGATCTCCTAACAAATCATGAAGACCTGAAATCACAACTTCCTACACAACAAAAGAAGACAGTGATTTAAAAAAATGTACATGGCCTGAGCATCCAATATGGTTGAAATTATAAGAGATTTATAAATGGTTATTCGAACAAATAGTTGTTTGGCTATGATAAGAAGAAATAAAAACTATGGATCATGCTCTACCCCACTACAACACGCTGTGAATAATGCCCCTGTTCTACTGAATATATAAGAATCAGAAATTGATAAGCAGGGTAAGAAAGTCAGATTAGCCAAATTAATAAAAAGAAACAAGTGCTATGTTATCATACTGGTGACTTGCACCTTCAGAATAAGATAGGCCAAATCCTTCTCGTACAAATCTGAATTACTACTTAACATTAGAAAAGCATAGTTTTTTCTTAATATGTAAAAATGAGATCCTATTTAACTTAAACTGGCCTCCCATTTGAACAATATTATAATGACAAAAGAACAGAGACCTTAAATTAATTTCGTTAGAATACATAGAATAAGATCTTAGAATGAAATTAGAGAGATGTAGACATCGATCGGGGCAAAAACACGACGAATTCGAAAGGATATTAACCAAGTCGAACTGCACCACATAAGTTAAACCTAAATTTTAAATTTCCCATGCGGATCCACAACAAAAAAAAAAGCGATCGAGCTCGAATCAACGTATGCGTGTGTGTGGGTAGGTGTGGAGGGGGGATCGAAACAACCTTCTTTTCGGGAGCGGAGAGGTAAATAGCTAGCAATTTGACGGCTTGGAGAGGTGTAGCAGCTGAGTCATCGATCTCGTTAATAACCAGCGGGTAGCTGCCGAGGGCAATGTAAGATCTGAAGACGAGAGCGTCCCTCTCTACGGTGTCTTCCGGTGAGAGATTCGGGACCTCGCTGTTGTTGATGGCGGCTTGATACGCCCCCAAGTAAAAATTATTTCTCAGTGAAAATAACGGGTCCGGTCCTGATGCTGCCATTGTTACTCTGGTGAGCGATTGGAAACAGATCGCAGATTTGGAGACTTGGAGCTTTGAGCAGAAACAAATCCAAACAAAAATGTTTAAAGGGGAGCGATTAAATTACAAATTCATCCCTCAATTGCCTTATTCTATTGTTGTTAATTAATTTTTAATTACACGGTAGTATGATCAATAATTTTAACTGCATTTTTATTTTTAGGAAAATGGTCAAATAATTTTTTTTACTATTCTCAAATTTATCAATTAAACTCATGTAATAAAAAAATATGGAGTGTCATATACCTACGTGCCCGGTTGATAACCATAATTTTTGGCTGTTCAGATTTATGAACCAACTTTTTCACCAAACACGTAACTTTTGATTTCGCGCGCTGAATTGTATAATACTAAGAAAAAGTAAGGTTCAAGTTACTTTTCTAACTATATTAGCTGAAGTTACTGTAGAGGGTCATTTTAGCTATTTTTCACATATTTTTTTCTTTATTATATTAAATATATATATTTTAAATTATTGTTTTTCACAAATCAACAGAATCAGCCAATACAACCGATTTGACTATTACCAAACGGGATCTACATTTACATAAAAAAAACCGATCAATTTGGACAGTCAATCATTTTTTGACTTATAATAGAAGGTTTTTTATATTTGGAAAGTATAAAAAATAACTAAATTTTGAAGAAATATGGATAACAATTGTGAAAATTTTCAGAATATTGAAGTCAAATTTTTTTGAATTTATTTTTAGTTTCTAGATGTATTTAAATATAATTAAAATTTATTTTTATATTTTTTACATTTTCACTTTATTTTACATTTTCTGATTTTTTTATTTTAGTGTTTCTAAATTATTTATCCATTTTTACATGTATGCTATTTTTAAATTATTGTTACATTATTTTTCAAATCTATATGAATTTTTATAAGATTTATCAATAATCCTAATTTATATATTTTTAAAATAACCTGTTATCACAGGCCCAAATGGCTTGATTGATTGTATTTAAAAAGTAATTGTACTTATATGATGTTTTTTAGTAGAATGGCTTAAGTGATTGATTAAAAATAATAGGAAAACATATTTGACCCTTTTTCATTTATTTTTTCTTAGGGGGGCGAGCCGGTGCCGCCGCCCCCCGTTCGCTAGCGGCGGTAGTGTATATATATGTATGTATATATCTCAGCCCCGACCATTAAAATATGTATATATTACAGCTTCTGCGGCAAAATAGGAGCAATGGTGTTGATGGTTTCTTTGGATGCGTCTTTGATTTAGGCATGCTAGCATATGAGATGTCGTGGGTACAGTTCCCACGGCTGTTTTATTTTTAAAATAATATGTTCTTCATTACCTCATTTTATGTATGCTTCTCCATTACTCACATTTAGCGTTGACATAGGCCGTAAAAGTGTCACACTTTTGGACACATAACTTTCTATTAATTTTCTTAAATTGAATGAATCTAGGATATGACATTGGATAAAACTTAATTTAGATTTTTTTATCTTTTATTTTATATTCTTATTATACAAATTATTTGTCATTTTTTCTTTCTTCCCGTATTCATATACAAGTTTTCTTTTTTTTTTGGTTCAATGGTCCCAAAATTAAATTTATACGGAGTAACATAATTGTTAATCATTTAAAAATAAGAAAATAAATCAATGAATTTTTAATCATTCCTTTCCTTTTCAAATAATGACATACATCATTTAATGTGTAAATTATCAAGAATAGTTCTCAGCATACTTTAACTTAACATACCTATTTACTTTTTCCTTAACATAATAGCATTTTTTATTGGATTATTAACTAAATATATCTCCAACTATCATCAAATTCACAAATCTATCCCATACTTTCACCTGTATTAAAAAAAGACTCAAACTTCAACTTTTCTCACAATTAAACTTTCAATTGATGAATCAGTACTGAAAATTAAGAAGAAAATCACATTCATATTTTATATTTTTTTACTTGTTTATAGTTTCAACTTTCAACTTTACAAATTTGTATTGCTTGTATCTAATTGGTATTGATAAAAATGTGTAATTTTGTAAAAAGAAAAAAGAAAAGCATAATTGTTGAAAAAAATGAAGTTTGAGTCTTTGTTTGATAAAAATAAAAGAATATGATAGATTTGTGAATTTGATGATAGCTTAGGATAAAATAAGCTAATAATTCTTTTTTATTTGAAACACGCTATATGCACATATACACATCTTGTGGATCAAACTTAATATCTAATGGCTCAAAATCAAACAATAATGCACTACATTTTATCAGAAACGCAGTTACAATCTACTAAACAAAAAAGTGCAAAACAAATATGTATCAGTGCACCAGAATGAGTAAAAAGTGCTCTCATTCGCACAATTCACATGAACAACTCTTTTTTATTGTAGATGCGCTCTATATATCAAATGATCACTTTTCATTCGTTTTTCCTTTATTCTAATAAAAAAGTGTTTCGTAAAAAAATTTATATATATTCCATATATAAGAACACCCCCTCAAATTATTCTCTGGTTCCGCCACTGCCTCTAACTACCTCTTTGGAAATATTGTGAGGAACTTTCCTTCTTTTTGTCTTGTACTCTTGCACCTTCCTTCACCAATGATCATTTGATTGATCTTGGACCTGTTTTAGTTCAGAATAGACCTAATCTAAACACATTACAACTATTTTACAAACATAACTATTACACCAAAAGTGTGTAATTTCCAAGGTATTCAAACAACAAAAACTAACTGAAAACATAAACATACATATGGAAATTACAAGTGTATCAGAGAAGTATTTGTTTTGTGTAGAACCTCATTTGATCTCTTGGGAGGAAGAAGGGAAGAAGAAAAAGAGGAAAGAAGATTGAGCATAGAAGACCAAAAAACCCAAGAAGAATGTGTTTTTGTAAAATCATTTATGATTCCTTGGTGGTTTTGTGTTCTTTCCTTTTTGAACTCTTGAAAAAACTCTTAAACTGTTTGGAACATTTTACTTTACTCGAGGTCGAGTAAAGAACTATGTGTGGGGGAGTTGATACGCTTGTAATTTCCGTTTGTATGTTTATGTTTTTAGTTAGTTTTGGTTGTTTAATACTTTGAAAATTACACACTTTTGGTGTAATAGATATGTTTGTAAAATAGTTGTAATGTGTTTAGATAAGGTTTATTCTGAGCTAAAACAGGTCCAGGATCAATCAAATGATCATTGATGAGACCAAAAGAGGAAGGAAGCTGCAAGAATACAAGACAAAAAAGGAAAGTTCCTGATTTTGACCTGTACCCGATCGGGTATACCCTATAACTGATCGGGTACCTACTTGATTTTCAATCAGATCAATTCAGGAAACAAAGGGACATGCAGGGGAAGATTTGGCCACGATCAGTTGTTATACCCGATCGGGTACACCGACACACTCGATCGGGTATACCTTTAATTTTAACTCTGAAATCGATCGAGTATACCTCGAATCTGAGTTTTTACACATACCTGGTTGGATACCGTGTATATACTCGATCGGGTACCTGAGCTGCATCTCCAAAAGCCTATAAATACACCCAAAATCCACCCCTGACTCACCCCCTGTCACCCAAAATCCACCCCTGACTCAACCGCAAACTCAGCCTTTTCAAAACCAGTTTCAACAATTCCGTCAGTGACGGAATTGTTGATCTTTATGGTCATGCCTTAACAACCAGAGTGACATCTATTTCAGATGCTTCACAATGTTTGGTTAGAAGTCCTGTTAAAGCTTTAATGATTCTATTATTTTATACAGGCCACACATTAGTGTTTACATTGATGTTGTGATAACGGAACACCATGGTGTATCCGGTTTTCTTACCTTTCTATTTGTTTTTCTATTTTGCTACCCAGAATAAAAGAATAAAGGCATGACGCCCCAATTCATCAGATCATCATGAGAGGGAGAATGGTCCACATGTTGTTTACTATCAACAAATTATTCTTGGACACTTCCCTCCTCCAACACAAAAATCAACGACGGCTCTCTACTCTCTCAAATCATCAAAATGCCAAGTCAACTTCAAATCAAATGGTCAGCTATACTCACAAGTCAACCATCATTTTCCGTTGTGCCACTGACGAGATCTCCTCAAAAGCAAGACTTTTCCGTTGTGCCATCTACACTTTGGAGGAGACAAAGGTCGAATGTTCAAGTACTGAATATGATTCCCATGCGTGCCCATATATCAAAAAAAAATCAACTGAACACTCGTTCCCGAGGCGCCATCGGAATTCATTTTTGCTGATCAAGAGCAACTTCTAGAAGGCAAGGACTAAATGCAAGATACTGAAGATTCTTCAAATCCCCAACATCAAAGAACAGATTGCCATGAAGACATCAAAGGGGAGATTGCAAGGATTTCTTCATAAAGCCTTCTCAAGAAGCCGAGTTCAAATACAAAGGAAGCTGAGCTGCACTGAAGTTCAAGACAAAGAGGAGCTACTAGACAAATCTTATCTACGCTCTCTAGGGATGGCAATGGGGCGGGGTTGGGGCGGGGGTTCACTCCCCCATCCCCCGCCCCGTGTCTAAAAAATCGCCCCCACCCCCGCCCCATCCCCCACTACTATTCGACCCGCCCCATCCCCGCCCCGACCCGCTAGACCCACGGGTACCCAACGGGGGAGGTACTCGTCAAAAATTAACATCATTTTAGACTCTGACAATTTTTCAAAAATTAAACAACACTTCTAGTAGCCAATTGTTTTTTTTTTACTTTTTAAGTGTCAATGTAATCTTACATCCCATTTCAAATCTAGAACACATTATACACGTCCTAATTTAGTCATTTTTATCAAACTCTAAATTAGCATTGATTAGCTCTATAATATTTTCTTAAACCCTGCATTCAATCAATCATGGTCATTTGATGGCATCTAGGACGGCATATGATCACAAAATTTTAAGAGCCCTAACTACAATCATAAAGATGACATTCAAAAGAAAAGAATTAATGCATTGTAATAGTAAAGGAAAAAAACTTTCACACCGTGCCTAGGGCGTTTAAGCTAATATCACTTTATAACTTTCCCAAATTCATTTTACTTTATCCCTAAAAAAATCATTTTACTTTATGATTTTGATAATCAATT